CGATCACGCTTTCCGGGGCGCCCTGGGGAGGACGGAGGGTTTAGGGGCTGGAAGTAACCTGGAGGATGAGCTTCTCCTGCCAGCACCGCAGGGAGTGCCACAGGGAGGGAAGGCACCAAGTTCGGGCAAAGGAGGAGGAAGTGTCCCCAAAATTCCAGCAGGCTCAGTGCACTAGATGGCAGCCTCCGACCGAGAGCACCGGGATCACGCCCACAGCGGGTCACCAAGAGCAGGATCTGCTCTGCAGGGGATCCAGCTGGCTCCCATAAAACCCACAGGTCTGTCCGAGATACTCCCACCCCACAGATCCCTCGCAGACCTGGAGGGGATGAGGGCTGTAAATGCCTGATGGAAAAAAAGCGTGGGATGTTCAGCAGATGCTTGTAATGCTTTTGTGACTCAGGAAAACATGTCCTTCAGCATCCCAGCATCTCACCCCAGCCCTTCTGACCTTACAAATTACCCTGACGTTGCTTTTTAATGTAAAACTTGCAATCTTTCTATTGTACCTCTTAAAAAGCTCGCCCAAGGCTACAGATCTGGTGGCTTTGGAGGGTCCCAGCCTGACCTGGAGGACAGACTTCACCCACCCAGATCATCTCCCACTGGGAACAATAATATACAAATCTTCTCAGAGTCAGCGGGGGGAAATTCCTGCCACATCTCTTCTCTTGGGAAGAAAATGCCCTTTGAAACACTATTTTATTTCTGGTTACAGTGGAAAGCTGTAACCTTTGGACATTACTGGTATCCGGAGGGTCCAGGCCTTTAATAAAGGCAAGTGCCCAAATTCTGCACAGGGGCAGCTCTCCCCTGCCCCAGCACCAGCACACTCAGCACCTTCTCCACCATCTAAATAATTTTACCTCCTTTTTTGCCTATCAAGATGGCAAAGACTCACCTCCTCCCTGACCCTACCAGCCTACCTGTTGGATCCTGGACCCCCAGACAGGTAAAAGGGGGGGAAGGAACGGCAAAGCATCCCTGCCCATTGCAGTGAGGGCCAAATCCTGCTGGGATGTGCCAAGAGGACACTGTGGGGTGCTGAGGACCTTCTCCCCTACCTTGACAAACATCTTGCTGCCAGTGGAGTTGTTGCCAGGGCTGGTGGGTGTGCAGTACACAGACATGGACTTGCGGTCACGGGAGAACTCGAGGGTGCACTCCTTCCTCATCAGCTGCTTGATCACCTGTGGGGACAGCGCTGGGCTGAGCCAGGACACGACAGGGACATGACAGGGACATGACAGGGACATGACAGGGACATGACAGGGACATGACAGGGACACTGGTGCTCTCCACCTCGGCTGACAGCCCTGCTGAGCCAGCACAGCACGACTGATGTGAGGAGAAAGGCAGCCCCAGGAGCCAGGAGGGGATGGGACAGCACAAAAAGGGATTTATTATGACCTGCTCAGACCTATCTGGGGAAGAAATGCCAGAACAGAGAGCAGCTTCGAGCAGCTTTGAGACATTATAAGATATAACAGCATGATATCAAAGCTGAGTAAATGCAGATCCGAAATAAAGTGTATTTTCACCAGGAGGACAGGGAAACACTGGAGAGCTGAGTAGGGGAACTGCCAGCACGGGATATTTTCACATTAAAAATAGACGTTTCCAAGCGCCACTCGGACAGGCATGGCTTTGGGGAATGGGGTTTGGTTCATGCTGGAGGGCAGCTGCTCAGGCAAACTGGGCACCTAAAGATAACTCCTAACTTCCCCATCTGTAGCTGGAATTCTGGCTGTCACCGAGGGAGTGTCTCCCAGCTCCATGTGGACCCAGGTCAGCCCCCACAGCCCCAGCACCCACCTCCCCAGGCCATGGCACCCTCTGTTCCAAAACCAGCTCTCACCCTGCGAGCCAGGAAATTGCATCCTTGTGCCAGATCCATCCCTTAGGTCACTGAAAATGGTTATTCCTCCAACAACAGCCATCCCAAAGCCCTCCTCTCCCTCCTAACCCCCCGTGCCAGAGCTCGCAGGGGCCTCCCCCACTCACCGAATTGCAGGCGTTGGCTCTCTCCACCTTGGAGAGTTTGCTGAGGTCCGTGTTGAACACGTTCATCTTCTCCACCAGGCACGTCAAGGCTGTTTCAGTGGCTTCCCCCACCTTCTCATAGACTTTTTTGGACTAGAGGACAGGGGGGAAAAAAAGGAGCTTAAGTTTTAGAGCCTGTCTTCCACCTGTTGCTCCAACCGAGCATGCTGTCACCCACTGCACCAGAGCACCACCTTGAGATGAGCTGAAGCCAGGGAAGGGAATCCCAAGGGACAAACCTCTGCTGGCTCTGTCCCAAAGCACAGGGAAGAGCATCCCCCCTGCCCTGGAGCCCCTGTACCTCATTGTAGTCCAGCGAGGAGTCGTTGCAGAGGGCACAGATGGTGGCCAGCTCCACCAGCCCGTCGTACTGCCCACACTGCACTGGCTGCTCATCCTTCAGGCTGTGGGCAGAAAACACCCCCCACAGCCTCACATCAGCTCAAATAACCTTCTAATAACACTTAGCTTATCCTATACTCCTTGTAGGGGGATGTGTATCCTATATATCACTCCAGTACAAGTGGGAGAAAGAGCCCCGTTAAAGCCCCAGGGTTGGCAATGAACTCTTGGGTTCACACTGTGTGCTTTATGCAACAGGACAGGGCTAAATTGCAAATAAAACATCCCAGGAGGCAAATAAACTCTGGAAGTGGCCCAGAATAAAGGGGGCTGCAGAGGAGTTCAAAGGAGTACTGGACCTGCAAACAGGGGCTGCCAACAGGCTGATGATGAAGGTGATGGGCCAGAAAAGGGGGAAAGAAATTCATATTAATGGCTGCTCCTCAGGGGTTTCCATTTGCTGGGGATCCAGAGAAGCTGTGGAACCAGCAGCAAGCCCTTCTCCTCCCTGCAGTGCTGCTTTGCACTCCTTAGGGAACCCAAGGGAGCATTTAAGAGCAGCAGACAACTTTAACGACTGCACTGTTGTGGCTGCTTCCAAGCCAGCGGTGAACTGTGGCCTTTGTTTCCTAAATAGCAGCTCTTTGCTATGGAAAGGAGCACAAACATCCTGGAAAGGAGCAGCCCCGAACACTCCAGGCAAGCCAGATACTGCTCCTTGCCTGGTGGCAGGAATGGCAGCAGTGGCTTTCAAAGGAAATAAAAAATTATCCCGGTTCCAGGAGAGGTAACTGCAGGTTAGAGCTGTATAAACCCAGCCGGTCATCTGCTTGCTGGAAAAATAATTTGTCAGGCATTTACTAGGATCAGTTTATTCCACTGCTGGTTCCCAATGGAAAGAACATTTTGGAGCCCTTGTTACAGCTCAGGAGCGGAAAACAGGGAGCAGCCAAGAAAATCTGAAAAATCTGTTTGCTGAGGGACAAGAAGCCGCACTGGGCTGTGAGTGGGAAGGGAAAGCCACTGCCTCCTGCCTGGGGGATCCTGCTGGGAAAAACATCAGCAAAGGTGCTGCTGTCTGGGTGCTGTGAGGGATGTCAGCAAACCCAAGGTCCAGCATGCAACAGCCCCCTGCCAAGGCCAGGTCGAGGCCAAACAAGCATTTCAGTGCCACCAGCTCTTGGTGGGACCCTCCACTACACCTCAGTGAGCCCTCACACCCCTCTCAATACACAAGACAGGCACAGGGCTGAAGCAAAACTCAAAAGCAACATGTATTGCTGCAGACCAACACAGTGTCCCTGCAGGCAGTCCCCAGAGGAGAGGGGACACTGAAATTCAGAGGTTGGCAGATACAAGTTCAGCCCCTCAATCCTCCTTAATTTTAATTGAAATGCACTGATTGACACCAGTTTATGACCTCGCTCACTTTTTAATGGAGATTCCCAGCCAAGGATCAAATTGGCTCTATAAATATTCATGAAATTAAGTCTGAGGCTGGGATGAATTATATTTGCTCCACAGATGGGCAGAAGGGACCCTGGTGAAGAATGTGTCTGGAATCACAGAGCAAAGGGGCGTGGAGAATGCTCCCACCACCAGCTGAGCTTCTCATCTTCCTCCTTCCCAGACTTCCCCCACACTGGGGAGCATCACCTCCTCTCAAAGGAGAGGGAATAAGCAAATACAAGGGCAGGAAACCTCACGTGTGTGATAACACAGCAGGGCAAAGCCCCCGGTTTCCACTCCCTGCCCTGAGCTGCAGCTCTGCAGAGCCCATGTCTCCCCCAGAACACATTCTGCCATCAGCAGGATCATGCCCTGGGCACAGCAGCCATGGGAGCCATCCCTGCACAGGACACAGGGCTCAGGGAGCACCTTCCTGGTGGGGTTTTCAGCCGTTTGCAAGTCCCTTTGCACATTGCCAGTGGTTTCAGGACAAGCTGCCGGCCCCGCGCCGTGTTTGGGGTGAGAACAAGAGTTGCTGGTCAACACCAAAAATGTGCAGGCTCCAGAAATTTGGAGAGCCATGATGTGCCGTGAAGAGCCTCGTTCATCACTGTTCCCACACTTGCCATCTTCTCTGGTCCACAAGTGGGCTTGTTTTATCAGGATTGTTAATGAAGGGAGAGCCAAGCACGAGGGAGCCCCTTCGCTGAGCAGTGGGAGGGCACAGGCAGAGCCCCCACATCGTGTCAGGCAGGAGCCAGAGACAAGGGACAGTGAAACAACTGCCCTGACCCCCACGGACAGTGAAGAGCAACCAGTCACCTGATTCTTGCAAGCCCAGTGTGGCCAAAAACCAGTGCCCAGTGGGTATCCCCATGGACAGGGTTCAGGAGGGCTGCAAACCACCACAGAAAATCCCCCTTTCTCCCCAGCCATGGCCACGAACTCGACCCTCCCACCTCCCCCCAGCTGTGCTGCCAGCCCAGGGCCACCCCTGAAGCAGAGGGGACCCTCACTCACATCTGTCCCTCAGGGGCGTAGGTGGAGCCGGTGATGCTGAACTCGTGCAGGCTGCACTGGTTGCCCTCCACCTTCTCCATGATGAACATCTGCAAGGGAGAGAGGTGGAGACAGAGCATTAGGCAGCAACATTTTGCTATAACCAACATGCTCAGCCTGGAAACCCACCAGCTGGTGCCGTGCCAGCGATGGCCCCGCTGGCACTGGGCTCAGCCCCCTCCCTGGTCACCCACCACTCCTGGCTGTCCCCAGATCCTTCCAGCTCTCCCCTGCCTTTTTCATGTTTGCCTCCTCCAGCTCTTCTTTTCCATCAGAGAGGAGTGATGCTGAGCCCGCTCCTAAGGAGTTGCCTGTGTTTTTCTTGGAGCAGAGAAGGACCTGGGACCAGGTTTCCACTCCTGCCCTGGCTGCCCTGGAAAGCCTCTGTGGGGCAGGATCTCAGCAGCTGTCCCTGCCACCCCTTCCCAGCCAGCTCTCAGCCACCAGTCTTGTGCCTTACTGGGGTCACAGCTCAGCCCAGTGAGCTGTAAAAGTCCTACATGCTCTATTTTTAGCGATTTTTGCCTTTCAAACTCCTTCCAGTTTCTCTCTTGCTGCTATAATGAGAGCAACAACCCCCCCAAACCTTAAAATACAATAAAAATTCCCCTCTCCCCAAGCTCTCCCAGTTCCCCCTCATCCTCTCCCACCTTTCAGGGCAGCCTCCCTTGGAAGCAGGAGCAGTGCCCGACCCCAGCCAAGGTGACAGTTCAGCAATGCTCGTTTCTGCTCTTCATTATTTATGACCCACACTGAAGCCAAAAAGTAACAATGAACAAATAAATCTGGTTTGGCAAAGGCACTGCCCTGGCTGCAGGGAGCAGGCAGGAGGGAGGGTGGCTGCAGGGAATGATGCTCTCCTCAGCTCTGTGAACTTGCTTGGCGGCTCCAGAAAGTGGGTGCAAGGACAACTGTCCCCCTACACCCTGCCTCAAAATAATTCTTCCTTTCCCTATTTATTTTCCTCTGGTTATTTGAGATGTTCCCCAGGAGAGGGAAGCAGCAGATGCTGGAGGAATCAGGAGGCAAAGCTCAGCACCAGAGATGCATCAACTCCTGGTACCACCCACTTCTCTCCCCTCCACACTTCCTCTGGCAACAAAGAGATTAATTTAGTGTTATTATTAATTATTGTTAATAATAAAAGGACACCTTATCAGTGCAGTTGCATTGGCTGGTGGGTGTGAGCCTTCCCCATGCAGAAGGCACAAGCTTAGGGCCAAGCCAAGTGATAAAGGTCATGTTCAGGGAAGCACATTCGGGGCATGTTTAGCACCAGGACATCTCAGTGGGTTTTCTCACCCCCATATTTTACAGGTTTGGGCAAATCAAAAGAGCAGGTTCAAAGCATACATCTCCCATGGGAATAATTCTGAGCCTAAAAACCAACCTTCCCAAAGCACAAAACAGCTTCCCAGATATTTGTAGATACCCTGATTGCTGGGCTATGGCCCTCAGCTCCTTTCTCAGAGCCCATCCTGGAGGCCCCTCAGCATCCTTGGGAGGTTTTGAAGAAAATCATGAGCCAAAGGGCTGCAGAAGAGATGTCCCACTGGGCTCCTCTGGCAGTGGGTGCAAACACTGAAGTGTGAAGGGCCTTGATAAAGAGAGTCTCCTTTGGACAACCTCCCTGAGATGAGAGACTCCAGAACCCCAGGTGAGGTGGGACACTCAGTCTGAGACAACACCAAAAGAGACCTCTGAAGGCTGAGCATCCTTCAGCTCTTTTTGACACATCCAATGCCCTCGGCCTTACAGAGAGCCAAAATCTCCCGACCTCTTCATAAAGTGGACTCCTGCCCTCAGAAACAACAACCAGACTCATTCATTAAAATATCTGAAAGCACCACCCCAGCCACCGATGGTTTTGCCTGATATGGGGCTGTTTGTTTCCAAATGCTCACGGCCACAAAACAATTATTACGTTCACAATAGCGACTTTCTTATTAGAAAAGGGAAAAGGGAAAATAAAAAAAAAAAACAAAATCATTCCGAGCCCTTTATTTTTCCATGCCCATTTAAAAAAGGTGCCGTGTAACCCACAGCAACCAGAGGTTATATCAAATTTCCTGCCTGCTCCCAGCTTGCGTGACTGGTTGAGCGTGGGGGTGGACGGGGCACTGCAAAGGTGTCTGCAGGGTTTCAGTGTGATCAGAGAATCATGGAATGCTGTGGGTTGGAAGGGACCTAAAGATCATCTAGTTCCACTCCCCTGCCACGGGCAGAGACACCTTCCACTAGCCCAGGTTGCTCCAAGCCCCGTCCAACCTGGTCTTGGACACTTGCAGGGATGGGGCAGCCACAGTTTCTCTGGGCAACCTGTGCCAGGGCCTCCCCACCCTCACAGGGGAGAATTTCTTCCTCATATCTAATCTAAATCTCCCTTCCTTCAGCTTAACACCATTCTCCCTTGTCCTGTCCCTCCAGGCCCTTGTGCAAAGTCCCTCTCCAGCTCTCTTGGAGCCCCTTTAGGCACTGAAGGATCCCTAAGGGTCTCCCAGACCCTTCCCCTCTCCAGGCTGAACAGCCCCAGCTCTCTCAGCCTGTCGGTGTTCCAGTAGATTTCCAGGCTGAGGAGTGGGCAGCTCTGTGGGCAGTGGAAACAGCCCAGAGGAAATAGCTGTGTCTTAAGCAGTTAAGAGGAGAGGTAATGTTTCCATCACAAAAATAATATAAATAATATTGGGAGCAACAGAAAGAGGTGGGAAAGGTGCGTGGGTGCAGCTCAGCTGGGGGGGCTGCTGACAAATGATGCTCCCAGAGGGGCTGCCTGACCTCTTGCACTGCCACAGCTGCAGCATTCAAGAGGGGGAACCCATTCAGCAGCACCCCAGGGCTTCCCCCTGCCCTGAACCTTTTAAACCCACACCAGTGATCTGAGGTTTTAATACAACAGAGAGGTTGGAAGGAAAATGTCACTTCTCATGAAGAGTGCACCCTGCCCCAAAAGCCATCACTCCTTCTCTCCTGTCCCATGGATCCTGCCTGGCCCCAGCGCTGTATCACACAACTGGATGATGCCAGTGTGTATTTGTGGGAAGCAAAGGCCACCTGGGGATGCACCACCCCTGGAGCAGCACGTGGCATCAGCTGTGGGCCTGTGGGGAAGGCAGGTGAGAAGGACACAGCTCCACTACTCTGTCTTTTCTGCACAATCTTTAAAAGAACTGCTCATCAAGAGGCACACAAGGCAGGATTGCTCTCTGGAATTGTAAGAGGCTGTAATCATCAGTCACTATTCCATCAATCAGCCCATGGATCAGCAGCATTTTCCTCCTTTGCTGGAAGCAGCCCCAGCCGTAGCACCGACCAGCAACTGGCACAGCCCCTGGGACCACCAGCCAGGTCTCCCAGTAATTGATGACTGGTTTAGACAGACAAAACTGCTGAGCCAAGGCACAGTGCCCTGGAGAGGGCAAAGAAAATCGTGCCTGCCCAGCTCCTGGGTGGCTGTGCCAGGGATGGGAGTTTGCATGTCCAGGCTCCGCTGAAAGCCTTATGGAAAATAAACCCCTTTCTGCTCGTTCCCCAAAACACCAGCAGCCATCTCAGAGACAGCCAAACATGTAAGAGCAGAGCTGAGATGCTTCTCCCCCTGCCAGCTTCGTGGTTATTTAAAGGTTGGGAGAAGGCTGTTCCTGGTTCCTCCACACCCTGGGCTGGGGGAGGTGGTGGTCTCAGAGACCCTCAGTTCACCGTACAGTGACTGACACGAGCCACAGGTTTAATCTGATTTACTGACTGGGTTTATGGCTTTGTTACTGTAGGGCTGTAACTCGAGTGGACTCGAAGCCAGAGCAAAAGCACCAAAGTCTTGGCCACCCCAGACAAGGCCCCTTGCACAAAGTACCTCATGTGGGGGGACACCGAGGGGCACAGATTCACCCCTGCTGACCACCAGGGATCCACGTGTGTCCTGTTGAGCTGGTTCAGACAGCACTGAGAGGGACCCAGAGGTACAGCACAGCCCTTAAAAACCAGCTGAGAGTTTGAAAACAGACCTGAAGCCTCTCAAGAGTCACTTTAGAGCTCCACAGACCCGATGCCAGCAGTGGCAGGCACCACCCTGCAGCACACCCTGCAGCAGAGCGGCTGTGCTCACCCAAATTAACGTGCAAGTTCATTAAATCACATTCAATTAACACAGTTTCTGGGTTATTGATGGGCTTTGGTGGCTGTTTCACCCCCTGAGCCAGATGCTTGGCCCAGGAGAGCGTCCTGGACATGCCAACGGCAGCCCAGCACAAATATTTACCCACAGCCTTGTCCTGCCCACGTCAGCACGGGAATCCCTGTCCATTAAACATTAACAGCCCTGGCTGTGTGTCCTGAGGCAAGCCTGGATCACAATATCATTCCCTGGGAGGCAGGACTCAGCCAAGTGAATAACACAGATATCAGAAAAGGGTTGTGGGGAGATGGGGTAGAGGGTACATTGTATTTTTTAATTGATTTTTTTTCTTTTTTGCAAAGTTGCTAAGTTCATTCTGCAAATAATGACTGATGCCAAAACCCCTGTGTGCCACTGCCCCACTCTCTCCCTCTCCCTGTCTCAGCATCACCAACCCTGCCTCTCCCAACTCTGCCACATTGAGGGGGGTGATGGCACTTCTTCCCGAGTTCAAGGAGCAGACCCTCTGGTTTGGGAAGGAATGGTCACTCCTCCCTCTTCTTCTGCAGTCTGCAGAGCTAAAGGGACTCCAAGCACTAGGGTCACCCTTTCCTTGCTTCCATGAATCACTGGGTCAGAAAATGGGGCTGGTGGGAGCCTCTTCCTTGTGCAAGCCATGGGCAGCTTGGTCACTGCCTTGTTCCAGCCCTGTCTCGTTCCAAATCACTTACAGGGCAGAAATACCAGACATTTCCAGTCATTTGGAGTTTGTGCTGAGCAAACCAGTGGCCAAAGCCCATGGCCAGCTTGCAGCACTGTCACAGCTTCCCACTAGGCTACCCGAGTGTCAGAGAGGAGGGACGGTGGCCAGGTCCATTTTTTCCCACAGCAACACATTTTCCAAGTTTCTCCAATAAAACCAGCACGCCAAGGTCGTGAAAAAAGATTTCCTGACACTTGTGGATTAATGGGGAAACTGAGAAATACTCAGATGGTCCAGGCTTTCCTAACAAGTCACCTCTCCACCCAGTCAGGCACATGGGAGCAAAGCTCTCTGGCAGATCCAGAGCTTTCACTCTCTTCACCAAACCACCCCAGGGCTCCCTCCATCAGAAATGCTTTTCCTGCATCCTGGCTTTGTAATTTTGCATGGCCCAGGATTTCTCACTGGTTTGCTTAAAAACAGGGGAGGAAAGAGCAAGAGAAGAAGAGGAGACTGACTGCATTGGCATCTCCAGGTGTCTGTCTCAACACCACATTCCAGCAGGAGGAAACACTCCATGGAGAGGAACACCGAAATAACTCTGCAACACAGCACCTCTACACCGGTGTGCTGACAGAAATCAGGTTTTCTAATTACCACCACACCAAGAGAAGCCCTGATCCTTACAGACCCTGGCCATGCAGCGAGGAACCTCGGGGCTTCCCATAAACCACCCTCCCCCTGCTCACCTTCCCATTCCTAACGTGACACGAGTCAGGTGAGGGCAGCAAAGCCCATCAACCACCCCAGGACGGGGACGGGGCAGCGCAGAGTCCTCAGGGGCTTCAGAGCATCCCCACTGCCCCTGCAAACCCCGCAGGCCCCCGGCACTCACCCGGCAGACGGACATCTGGTTGGTGGTGAGGGTGCCGGTCTTGTCGGAGCAGATGACGGAGGTGCAGCCCAGGGTCTCCACCGAGGGCAGGCTCCGGACGATGGCGTTTTTCTTGGCCATGCGGCGCGTGCCCAGCGCCAGGCAGGTGGTGATGACGGCCGGGAGGCCCTCGGGGATGGCGGCCACCGCCAGCGCCACCGAAATCTTGAAGTAGTAGATGGCCCCCCGGAACCAGGAGCCGCCGTGGACGGGGTCGCTGAAGTGGCTGATGTTGATGACCCAGACGGCGATGCACACCAGGAAGATCACCTTGGAGAGCTGCTGGCTGAACTCGTCCAGCTTCTGCTGCAAGGGCGTCTTCTCGGGCTCGGTCTCCACCATCTGGTTTCGGATCTTCCCGATCTCGGTGTACACCCCCGTTGCAATGACGACCCCCACGGCCTTCCCAGCTGCGATGTTGGTGCCCTGGGAGGGAAGGAAAGGGCCGGAGTGGATATGTGGGAATGAAACCTCTCAGCCTGAGCAGGGAAATGGGTCACTTGATGTGAAAGGAAAACATGAGATCTTGGTTAAGGGAAAAAATGGGACATCCTGGGGTTTTATATAGACCCACCCTGAAGAGCAGGAGATCCCTCCTGAGAGCTCTCACCCCTTGAGGACTTGACTTCTGCCTGAGAAGAGCACGAGCAAGGAGGAAACCCAAACTTTCAATAGCTCCAGGTTCAACCACAAACCTTTTTCTCATCCACCCTACTTGACAGAAAACCTGTTTTAATTGTCTACAGTAGTTAAGGGTATCAAGTGCCACAGCCCAAATGAAGTTCTAATGAAGCAGGTTCTTATTTTTATGGATTTGGGGCTCTTTTAATGAATTCAGGTCCTTCTCATGCATGCACTCCCTTTTACTGCTCAGACATCTCCCATGTCCATCAGCCTCTTCACCTTGAAAACCATGGGAGAGGTGGGGATGAGTGTGACTTACAGAGAAAAGCATGTTCTTCTTGTCCTGGTTGACAGCCCGAGGGTCAGGGATGGGGTCAGCATGTTTGATCACCGACACAGACTCCCCTGCAGAGACAAGAGGGGACAGATGGACCATCCGTGTTTCCTCTCCAGCCTCCAGTCAACACTGTATAAGCCTGGATCACAACCCCCACAGCATTCTAGAGCAGCACTTCATCACCAAACCATCCAAACATCCCTCAGGGGGATGTCAAACCCCACGTGTGGCACAGGAAAGCCTCAGGCTTTGTGTTTTGCAGGAGGGATGCCCAAGCACTGGTCGCATCTCACCTGTGCTGTGACTTTGAGGGCCCGGAGAGGTCCCAGCAGCATCTAAATCTTGCTCTCCCACCCGTTTCCCACCCCAGCCAAGCACTTATCCCACTATCAGTCCCAAAAGCTGCCTCCAGGAGGATGGCAGAAGGGAGTTGCCCCTGCTCCATCGTGCCCACACACACCTGTGAGGATGGACTGGTCGACCCGCAGGGTGGTGGAACGGATCTCGATGACCCGGATGTCTGCTGGCACCTTGTCACCAACTGCAAGGGCAAGAGCAGAGCAACCCCATCAGGTGGGACTGGCAGCACCTGCCAGCCCAGGAGCAGGGATAGCAAACCCCAAATGGAGACCCACCATGTGCAGGTGCATGGCAGCACCCAGCCTGCAGCAACGAGGCGTCCAGCCCCTGGCAAAGCAGGGTCCTGTCCCAGGATACCTCCTTTCTGCATTTAAAGCTTAATTAAAGCATATTTTTGTCTGTCTATAATTTATAAGCCTCCCCCAGCCAATCCCAGGCAGAACCTGGCTGCTGCCCAGTGTCGCCTGCTCTTCCACGACCCCATCTCTCCTCTTCCCTGCAAACTACCCCTGCACTCTCATCTTGCCTCTTCCCTGCAAAAAACCCAAAACATCCCCATGCTGGAGCAGCCCAAGCTTCCTAAAATACCAGTTTTAACCCTGTTTCAGAGTTCTCTGGGCTGACTGGAAGCTGTTGACAGTGGATGATCTTCTGTGTCCAAGACAAACAGCCATCCCTGTGTCTCCTGGCACGGCACAGTGGGCACAGGGGAAAGCCTCTCCATCCACTGCCAGCCGCTCAACACCACCCTCTGAGGCACAAGTGCTTCCTTAAAAAACCAATTTAAAGCTGCTTTTCCCACTGGGTTTCTTCCTCCTGGCTCTTCCTCCTGCTCTGTTATCGGCTGGACACAACCAGTGCTCCGACACTTCGGAAATACTGAGGCTGAGCGAGCCCTGGCTCGCAGCCCCTCACACCACTTACACAACACCGCTGGCTTGGCTGCTAACAACCCTCCCAAATCCCAGACTTTAACGAGTGCTTCCTCCTCGGGCTCGTAAACCCCCCCCAGAGCAGCAGGAGGGGACTGGCACTGCTCCACCACCCAGCCAGTTATTCCAGCTGCAGATCCCAGCGCTCCGAAATGCAACGTGCAACATCTGCCACCCGGCCAGACCTGCCCTGCTCCTCCTCACACCGATTTGGGGGGGGCCTGAGCTGGGGGGGTGCTAAGCACAGGTACCCACAGCCCCCCCAAAATACTCACTTCATGCACAGACTCAGACTTTGCATCTGTTCAAGGGAGTTGGATCATGTTAAAGGGAGAAAAGAGCTCCGCTTTTTCCCTGGGAAAGGCAGGAGGGTTTGCAAACATGAGCTAAACCTGCAGAGGAAGACTCTGCAACATCCAGGGACAGCAGAGCCATGGGGGTGGCACCTGCTCCAGGGAAGAAAGACATAGCATCCCAGGAGGTAGGCAGATGTCCTGGTATGGACCTGGCACTGCCATTACCAGCTACTGCCCACAGGCTGATCCCCTGAGCACTGCAAGTGTCCCCCACGCCAAAAAATGAGGGAAAGAGAGGAAAACAGGTGGCCACAGACACTGGCATTGCCCAAGCACTGCAGGAGCAGGCAGGGGGTGCAGCAACCAATGGAGCTCCCACAGTGATGCCCTGCCTGCACTTTTTGGGAAAGGCAAAAGCTGCCTGTGCTAGGACTCACCTCCACGGCCTTGTTACCAAAGGGCAAAACCCAGCTGGGTTTAAGCAGCCTGCCAACTTCCAAACACCCTCCCCTCCCCGCCTTAACACAGCAGGTTTCCTGCTCCCTGCTGCCAAATTTATTTCATTTGCACATGCAAACAAACAGCAGCCAGTCCCTCCTGCTGCGCTGTCACACTGTCCCCAGGGTGTCACCTGGATGCCCACTGCATGTTCAAAGCTTTTGCTCCAGGTGTGCTTTCCTATCAGGCACCTGACAGCATCCTCCCCACTTGCCATAAGCTCCTCAACCCGCAATTTGCTAATTAATTTGCTAATAATTTGCAAACCCCTCCAGAGAGCTCAGCTCTTTCCCTCCCGGCCGCGATGCTGATTGTGCCATTAAAAAGTAGTGTTGGGCTGCTGATGGGCAGGCTGTGTGCACTTGATCTGGGGAAAGATGGCAGAATTTAATTAATAATTCATTAATTTAATTGAAGGCCAGGTCAGCAGCTGGAGTGCATTGCTGGAGCTGGTTTGGGAGCACCGCCAGCTTGCCCAGCTGAGGACCTGGCCGGCTCTCCTCCGCTTGATCCTCCCTGCATTATTTTTGTGTTCATCTTCCAGCTGAATCCCAACTGGAAGACATAAATAACAGTGAGCTGGCTGGGTGCAGGAGGGATTGCAGCATGTTTCCACCAGCAGGGCCACGAGGAGGAAAGGAGAGGATTAGTTTTGTGGCTCTGGGGGTTTACGGCATCGTTTAAGGAACAAACAAAATGGGATAATTGGAATGCATCCTCCTCAGCTCCGGTGGGGCAGGCGGCAGATCCCCAGAAACCCTCTGCTGAATGAACAACCCCAACAGAAGGGCTGGGGCGTAAAATCCAACCAGGAAGGCAAAAGGCCCCTACAGCTGTTCCTCTCTGCTTCTCGCCCTCCCTGGATAAGCAGCCCCAGTTCCCAAGGAAGCCTTCCCACACAGCACTGAACGGCAGAGCACCCAGCTCCAGCCCTTCACCCACGCCTCGGCCGGGGACGTGTGTGGAAGAGCCGCTTCCAGAGAGAGGAAAATTAAAAGTTCTTCCAGTTCTTCCAGAAAACGGGGAAACCCTCCCGAGACACAAAACCTGCGTCAGAAATGTACGCTCATTTTTTATTATCCCTTTTCTGCTGCTCTCCACTGCCCCATGTTCAGGGCAAAGCCTTGACAGACTGATAAGCCTCAGTTTTGGGGCCTGCCCAGCCAGTACCACCTCCCCATCCGCCCCTGTGCCCTGAGGTGATGGCACCCTACCTGCCACCTCCACGATGTCCCCGGGGACAATGTCCCGGGCGCGGATCCGCTGCACCCCACTGCGGTCAGCCCGGATCACCTTCCCCATCTCGGGCTCGTACTCCTTCAAGGCCTCGATGGCACTCTCGGCGTTCCTCTCCTGCAAGCAGAGAGGAGCAGAGCTGGTGGTGGTGGAGTTGCTGATGCCAGAAGGCTCCTTCCCCACCCAGTGCAAAGACAGGAGAACCCAAACCCCAGCCCCAGGTTTGGAATCCACTTGCACCGTGGATGGGGCAAGGGCCGTGTCTTCTTCAGCTGCTGCGAAATGCTCCCCGCTGGCTTAAATCACACCAGATCCTGGACAGTGCATGGCCCTTTGGGCTTGATTTTCTCATTCCTGGTTTGAGAAGCAGCATATCCCACCCAATTGTATTTTTCCCATCCAGCAACCCCACCTCAGATCAAGCTGCAGATAAATAAATGGCTTTAAAGTGAATACAATACAAGAGAGAAGCATCCCTGGCTGAGGCATTTGCTCATCCCCCAGGAGGGACACAGCAAGGTGAGGGGCAGCAGCCACCATGGCTTTCTGGTGGAGGGGGCAAAAAGCTTTCCTTGGCAAATGCATTTGGCCCTGGCCAGGACACAAGCAGTGTTTGCCCGGGTAAGTGCAATACAGGCTTCAAACTGCAAAAGTTGCCAAAGAAAGACTGAAAGAACAAGACAAGAGGCAGCCAACAACTGAGCACCTGTGCAGGGGCAGCATGGCCAACATGAAAAACTGAGCCTTTGGGAGATGAGTATCCAATGGCAGGAAGCAACCAGGCCTCTGAATGAAGCACCTCAGCCCTGTGGAGCAGAGAGCTGGGGCTGCCAGGGGGCTGAGCCTTACCTGCCACACGCCCACCACGGCGTTGGCAATCAGGATCATAATGATGACAATGGGCTCCACAAACGCCGTCGTGGTCTCCTCTCCTTCCTCAAACCAGGCCAGGATCTGGTGGCAAGAGAAGGAGCACAGCAGGGTTCAAACAGGACCAATATTTTAAGAATGGAAACAAGAGCCAACACGTGTTGTTTGCTGGAGGTGGCCAGACCCACACGGCTTGGGTAAAGTGTGGAATTGCCATATCCCAGTGCTGGTGCTTAACTCAGGGGCCTCCACTCCTCTGTTGGGATAACCTAAGGCATCAAACAAGCAGGGCTGGAGCAAACAGCCATGCAATGCCTGGAGGAGTGCTTGCACCAGGAAAGCATCCATTTTTGTGTAGTGCACCCACGAGGACACCAAGGCCATGAGCAGACGAGTGGGGAGACCAGGCAGCAGTGCAGCCCCTCCCGGGCAGAAGGCAAGTGATGCCACCTGAGTAATGGATGCAGCAAGAGCAGCTCTGCAGAGCAGGGACTGACCTCCTGGATTCTACCACCCTGAGCCCCCTCTCCATCCCACAAAGACCTCATACCATAACACGGATGAAGCACACACATAAATATTTCCACTCCATTTAACTGCTCGTGGACCTGTGCTGTGTCAACACAGCAACACCTCTCTGCTCTGCAGGGGCACCAGCACAAGGACCTCTGGCACAGGGCTTCACTCCTGCTTTTATCTGCATTCACCTCACTGCATGTTGCTTTGGGAATGTTTTAAACCCCACAAGGGGCCAGCCTCCCCCCTTATGTACCCGTGAGTCATATCTGAAAGGAGGGAACAGGAGTCTCAGCTTTGCCATCCCACTGCCAAACAGCCTGACTGCGCTCAGAAAATCAGTCACTCTCCAGCAGCTCAGTGGGAAATGTCTCCTCACGCAGAGCTGCTCCCGAAGTAGATTGTGGGCAAAACTGAGCTGACAGCTCAGTACTGGGGCACTGCGAATCAGGCTCAAATCATCAGCCTGGAACAGCCTTGGGTGAACAGAAAGAAGCCTGGGGAGTTGTTTTATACCACTTTTGGATGGATCAGCATTAGAGAAAAATCCTCCAGTCCCCTCTTTAAGCAAACTTAGTGATATTGTCATTATGCCCAAGAAACCACTGCACTGCTGCTGCATCTCCTTCATCCCACAGGCACATTCTCCCAGTTCCTTTGCTGTTTGGATGCCACCTGGGACTGCAAGTGCCCTGGAAGTTGCCCACCTCAAGCCCAGGGTACTTACAAAGGACAGAAAAGCTGCCATCAAAAGGATGCGGACGAGGAGATCTTCAAACTGCTCCAGCACCAACTCCCAGAGGGACTTTCCTGGTGGGAAAACACGAAGCCAAGCACAGTCAGTGCTCGAAAGAAACCCCAGAAGACAGATAATTGAGACCACTGAGGATCTAAGACCCACAGGACCCACTCCCTGCTTGCCTCAGGCCTGCTCCAGTGCCCCTTGGCCATGGGCACTGGTGAGGACATCCAGCCCTGCAGTGGGGGGGTTCCCTCTAATATTAAAGGCTTCCATTTCTGGCATTGCCCTGGTTTTACTGTGTCTGTTTTTAACTACGGAAACCAAATCCTCCTGCATTTCTACTCACAGAGGTAGCCTTGCCACCACAGAAAAGCTCTGCTGTCAGCCCAGCTTGCTCTGGGATTAAAGCCAGGACTAAAAGACCCCAAAGATTCCCCCTTCCTTGTCCCCAGCACCCTCCACCCACACTCAAGGCACGTCCTCTCACCTCCAGCCCATGACTTACCTTCTTCTGCAGGGAGCTCTGTGGGTTTTCATCAACAGCACAAGGAGTGCAACATAGCAAAAAATGACAAAAATAAAAGATTAATTAATGGTTTGGGCTTTGACGAGTAATCTCTCCCCCTATGCCCAGCATTCCACTCAGTACCCCAAAATGCAACTTGTTTTGCACATATTCCCACATCAAGGCAGCTTGTTCTCAGTCCAACACCAAGTAAGCAGCCCTGGAAACATCATTTCCCTGCTGCAAGTGGCTCCAGCAGCATTTATTCCTGCACTCAGCCTGCCTAAAAAAATACTCCTCAGCAGCTGCCCTCTCCAAATCCAGGACACAGAAGTCCAACCATCCCATAAAATGCCCTGCCAGAAACCCAGTACAGCCCCGCTGGGGACCATAACTTTCAGACCACATTTCCTCTTAATCAGCTGCACTTTACAGCCTGCAGTGCTCTAGGAAAGAACTCCAAAGCTGATGCTCAGCTGCTCCAAGCCATCCTCCTGAATCCACCTTGGTGGGTGCAGAGCCTCCATTCACTCTGCTCCCAGGCAAACCCGAGTCCAGTCACCTGCACAACCTGAAAAAACCCCAAGGGCTCCCAAACACCCACTGGTCTCCTCAAGATTCCCACATCCCCATGAGGGACCATGACCTTCACACACCACGTGCACCGTGGGGTCCCACAGCCACTGGGCAAAGCACAAACCCTGCTATCCACAAGGGAATCACTCCTGCATCCTCACCTGGGCAGCACTGCAAGGTTCTGCTTGCAGGGAGGGCTCAGGAGTGACCCCCCTGGTTTTGGCAGCTGATGGGTGCTTGTGTCCATTTGCACCCACTAGAATCAGGGAATGGTTTGGGTTGGAGGGACCTTAAAGATCATCTCACTGTAAGGTTCTGCTTGCAGGGAGGGCTCAGGAGTGACCCCCCTGGTTTTGGTAGCTGATGGGTGCTTGTGTCCATTTGCACCCACTAGAATCAGGGAATGGTTTGGGTTGGAGGGACCTTAAAGATCATCTCACTCCAACCCCTCTGCAATGGCCAGGGTCACCTTCCACTAGCCCAGGTTACTCCAAGCCCCATCCAACCTGGACACTTTCAGGGATGGGGCAGCCCCAGCTTCTCTGGGCAACCTGTGCCAGGGCCTCCCCACCCTCCCAGGGAAGAACTTCTTCCTTAGTATCCCACCTAACCCTGCTCTCTGGCAGTGGGAAGCCATTCTCACTTGTCCTGTCACTCCAGGCCCTTGTCTAAAGCCCCTTTCCAGCTCTCTTGGAGCCCTTTAGGCACTCCTTGAAGCCTTCTCTTCTCCAGGCTGAACAGCCCCAAATCCCTCAGCCTAGTTCTGCACCCCACGGGGTGGCAACAGGCAGGTGGCAGTGCTTGGTTTAATGGTTGGACTCAGTGATCTTGGAGGTCTGACCTCAATGATTGTATAATTCCATGATAGAACAAGAAGTTTCTCCAACTATTTTTGTTTCTGGGAGGGAATAAAGGGACCACATGAAGTTCAAGGTGTCCCATCATGGGGTGAAACATGGGGCTGTCTCCAAGCACCTCCAGTGGGGAGCCCTGAGCAAGAGCAGGAAGTGAAACCTGCTCGGCTGTTTTCCATCACCTATTTTCATTCAGAGAAATGAAAAAAAAAACCAAACCAAACCCACCTTCACTGAACAAACCAGTGAAAACAAGAAGCCTGGACGTGTTTACACTTCAAACTGCACCAGCTCCTCAGTGCTCACAGACACACTCACTAGGAGTTGTTTTAAACCCACGTCCTCCTAGATAAGGCTACCCTGATTCCCTGCTATCCTAAAAAACAGGCTGGGACGTAATGTCTATAATTATTCTTATAGCAAAGATTATATATATAATCTTGGAGCAGCTTCAGCGTTTCAAATCGCTCCAGAGAGGGTGTCAGAGGAGGGTGGCTCTTGTCCCTCTCCCAGCCAGCTCCTCTCCACCCCCGGTTTCCTCTCCCCAGCCCAGAGAGCCACCGAAATTAAAAGCAGAAGAGATCTGCTGCTGCTATTTCCATCCAGGCTCCACTTTTGAGGGTGCCACGGTGTGAGGTGAGAGGGCTGGGGGTAGGTGGGTGCCCCGGGGGAGGCGGCTGGGGCTCCCACAGCTCTTGGCCCACCGAGGTGCCCGAAGGGTGAATGTCCACCCCGAGCAGCCGCCCAAAACACGGTGGGGTCCTCCCAGTGCTTCCCCCACACACTGTTTGCATGACGAGCGGCAGCAGTGTCCCTTGCAGAGCTGGGACTTTGCATGAGATCTTGATTAAAGCATGAAAACAGGTTTCTGTGAACTCAGGAAACACGTGTGCTGGGGCAGCCAGCCGAGACACCGCCGGGGACAGCGACACCACCGCTGTCACCCCGAATGCAGCAACGCTGCTGTGGGCACCTCCCAAAAAACCCCAGTTCTGTGTACTGTGAGAATCAGGCAGTTCTCTTCCATCAGCGACTCCTTCCACCACCACGTAGCACCTCAGTGCCCATTTTGCAACAAATACCGAAAGAAATAAGGCAGAAAGTCACAATAAACCCAAATTTGGGGGTTTGAGTCGATCAAAACCCGCCAGAAAACAGGAAGGTTTGGGGCTGACGCCTCTCACTTCCAAAGTCTCACTAGAAATAAGAGGGTTTGCCACTCATCAAAACACAAGTCCAGTGTGAGTCAGCCCCGTGGCACCAGGCAGGGCAGCAGAGCTGGTGCCATGTCCCATCCGTCCGGGAAACCCACTGCAAGCCGCAGGCAGGGAACCAGCAAAATTCCAAATCTGCAATTCCCTTCGGACAACGTGGTGAGTGCAAACAGGTCGAAATGGAAAGTCCTGGCTGGCACCTGAATAGCCCCTTTCTTTGGCCAGTGGCTCAGGGCTCAGCAGGGAGATCCTGCCCTGGGCTCCCTGATACTGCAACACAAATGCAGTGACACCACCAAGGGTAGGAAGTGATGGTGGTTGCTCAGAGTATCCCAAAATCTGCAATTCCTCTGCTCCTGCTCTTCTGCATCACAGCTCTGGAGGGCAGAGCCAAGAAAGTGGAAATACCCCAAGAGGGCAATAGGTGCCTGGATGTCACAGGCCCATTCCCACCAGCAGAAGAGCATGGTTCCCTCCAGGTTATTGAGGCAGCCCCAGCTCCACCACCCCACAGGGCTTTGCCTTGCAGGGGCACAAAACAGCTCCAGGGACTGCTGAACACTCACAGCTTGCTCTGAGCTTGTCACGTCACAACATCTCTCCTCGCTGTGCCACCACATGGTGCCATTGGCCCATGCTGGGCTGCAAGAGATCAATACAAGATGCTCTGAGGGCACGCAACCAGCCCGGCCACCCCGGGCAGACGTGGGGCTGGCGTCGGGCTATTTTAGCAGGAGGTTAATCTCCAGCTCCTGCCAACTCAAACAGGGCTGGCAGCCCACGGGCTGGCGCCTGCAACATGGCAGGGCACGGTAATCAGGTGATGAAAAGGTAAATAAACACGGGTGCCACCCACGAGCGAGGTGGCGCGAGAGCCCCCGGGCACTGTGACAGCCTTCGTGCCCCCAGGGAGACCCGGCCCCGCTTCCCCGGCCAAAGCAAACACTCAGACTGGGACAGGGTGGCATTGGGGGCGCTTGAAGGAAATGTTTGAGTTTCTCCTGCTGTAACAGGATCAAAAAATCCCTGGAGCAGCACAGCCCTACAGCAGACAGTGTTCCTCCATCGCACGCCGGGTTATCGCATCCCCCTCTGCTACGGGGGAAACGGAGGCACGAGGTGACGCTCTCCAGAGCCAGTGCACAGCAATGCAAACCCTGGTGTGACCCAGAACAGCAAACATCTTGCAGAGTGAACATTGAAATACCATTTTCCCCCACCATTTCAGGAGCTTCCTCGGGATAAAATCAGATTTCCCTAACGGGAAACACTCCTGCCCCAAGTGATGTGGGAAGGGTACCGGCATGGTGCCCAGTGGGAGGATAATGATGAGCATCACACCCAGGCCAAGTTTTCTGCTCCAAGTAACTCCCTTGAAGCTATATTTCTACATTGTGAACTCATTTTATTTTTCCTCCTGCCTTTAATTTCTTTTCCCATATGCAAGGAAAGGGAAATGGATGTGCAAAATAAGGGACGCATCCGATTCCCAGACTTTGCTGACAGGCAGGAAGAAAGCAGTGAAAAGAGTAAGAAAAACCCTAAAACAACCCCAGCTGGGAGAGCAGCCCCCGCTCCATGATATAAAGCAGGAACCCAGGCAGGGCTGCTCTGGGATCTTTCCACCATCCTGAAAGACACCAGGCAGGATAAACTGTTATTTTAACTGGCTGCCTTTCCCAGGGCCGGCTGCACGGGAAGGATCCCATCCTGGAGGGACGTCTGCTCTGCCTCATCCCTGGTGACAGCCAGCACCACACACCACCAGCGCTCCACAAAACTGCTGGATTGCACCACCAGGACAGGCTTTGCCGGGGTGTTTCAGCACACACACTCAGCCCAGCACATGCTCGGTGTAAATCCCACCCAGGGCTGGAGGTGTGAGGCTGCTCCTCACCCTGCACGGTGGCACTGGAGCTGCACGAGTGCAAACACCAGCGAATTAACCCAGGGTGTTTTAGTGTTATCTAGGATGACAAACACTCAAAGCCAAATGGTGCTCATGCTCCCTGATGTTCCCGGAGGACAAAACGCAGTTATCTAAGTGCCTGGCTGTGCATGACTTAAATTAACCCACATGGTTTATGTACAGCTCCACGCCTGAGCTTCCCGAACGCCGCTGCACCCCCGGGGCCTGTCCTGCACCTCCTGCCTCACCTGGGCTCCAGCCACACACTGGGGCAGGAGGTGGCTCCACTTGGGAAGAGCAGGACCTTCAGGGTGCAGCTCAAAAGGGATGTGCTGTGCCTGCTTCAGCTTCTGCCCAAATCTCCCTCAACCCCTGCCTGCCCTGGCACCCCTCTGCCTGCTGGAGCCAAAGCTGCCACGTGTTATTGCACCAAGATGGGGAGCAAACACACCCCCTCAAAGCTG